GCTCTTTTTCAAGGACAGCTCTGAGAGAACTTGTGACTGTCCCAAGGTCATCCAGCCAGGTGCAAGTGGAGGAATGGGGAATCAAACCCGGTTCTCCCAGATTAGAGTCCGCACACTTAACCACTTAACTTAATCTGTGCACACTCCCTGCATGTAGAAGAAGAAGAAGAGATTGGATTTGTCCCCCGCCCTTCACTACCCAAAGGTGTCTCAGAGCGGCTTACAAACTCCTTTACCTTCCCCTCCCCACAACAGACACCCTGTGAGGTTGGTGGGGCTGAGAGAGCTCTTGACAGAAACGGCTCTTTTTCAAGGACAGCTCTTCTCAGAACTACGGCTTTCCCAAGGTCATCCATCCAGGTGCAAGTGGAGGAGTGGGGAATCAAACCCGGCTCTCCCAGATTAGAGTCCGCATACTTAACCACGACACCAAACTGGCTCTCACACCAAACTGGAAGGGGCTAACCTTCGGGTGTGGGATGATTGGTCAGGTGGAGGCTACCCTGAGGAGGCAGGCGGACGAAAGCACCAGCCACGGATGTCGGGTTCAGTGTTCCCTCTAAGCTGAGTTGGTGTGAGCTAGCTCACAGGTTTTTAGCCTCCAGCTCACAGATTTTTGCCCTAGCTCAGGAAGGAGGGCCTCAAAGCAAACTAATTTGTGCAGCAACCCAATGGCTCGCTCACAACTTTAATGCCAGGAGCTCACAAAGTAGAATTTGTGCTCACAAGACTCCACAGCTTGGAGGGAACATTGGTCGGGTTACCAATTCTGGGCTGGGAAATGCCTGGAGGCTTGGGGGTGGAGCCCGGGGAAGGCAGAGTTTGCAGAAAAGAGGGGGCTCAGATGGGTACAGCCGCATCGATCCCACCCTCCAGGGCAGCCGTTTCCTCCAGGGGAATGGAACTCTGTCTTCGGGAGGTCCGGTGCAATTCCAGGAGATCTCCAGGCCCGACCTGGAAGCTGGCGACCCTAACCGCCCGTGTGCCTCTGCAGATGGAAGAGATCCTGGAGACGGTCGGCTGCTGCATCGTGGAGCAGAGCCAAGAGCTGGTCCCGGCAGACAAAGCCCTCTACGCGCTGAGAGACGTCACGGCCACGGTGGACAGCTTGCCCCTCATCACAGGTGCAGGGTCCGATCCCCGCAGACAGCCGCTGGCACGGGAGCTCGCAACATCCCTGCGGGGTTGGCTAGGCTGAGGGGAACCGAGGGGTCCGAGGACTGGGTCAGGAGGGCTGAGGCCTGCTTCCAAACCTCCACTTAGCCCTGAAGCTCCCTGGTCAACCTGGGGCCAGTCCGACTCTCACGCCTAGCCAGGGTTCACAGGGGTCATTGCGTAGAAAAAGAGGTGCAGGAGCTCATTAGCATAACTCATTAGCATAACTTATTTGCATATGCCACACACCCCTGACATCACCGGAAGTGTGTCAGAAGGCAACACCCACCACTCAGGCTCCACTGGACTGTTTTGGATTGCTCGCTATTGGAGGGGGGGGTGGAACGTGCAGATCTGCCCTCGCAGAGGAGGGAGAGCTTGTACCTGAATAAAGCCTGGTCTTAGAGGTGCCACTGGACTGTTTTGGACTGGAGGGGCCGGGGGGGGGCTCTGCAACTTATCTGGCTGCTTCTTGCTCTGACTGAGGGCTGCTGGGAGCAGGGGGTGGGGCTTGTTGCATGTGCCCGCCCCCTGGGCTCTTTACTGCCGGAGCTCTGCTCCTGTGCGCTCCTGCAGGAAATGACCCCTGACTCCACCTTAAGATCAGTTCTGAATGTGTGTAACAGATGACCTACCTTTCCTGTTTCCAATAAACCTTTACTCTTTGGAAAGAAAGTGTGGAGAACTGATTGCTGTGGGACTCTGACACCGCCCTTCACTCAGAGACTCAGAGTGGCCTACAAACTCCTTTCCCTTCCCCTCCCCACAACAAACACCCTGTGAGGGAGGTGAGGCTGAGAGAGCTCTTTCGAGGACTGCCCTTGAGAGAACAGCTCTGAGAGAACTACGGCTTGCCCAAGGTCACCCAGCAGCTGCAAGTGGAGGAGTGGGGGAATCAAACCCGGTTCTCCCAGATTAGAGTCCGCGCACTACACCAAACTGGCAAAAAACCTCCAGGATTCCTGGCCAAGCTGGCCTGGAGAAAAATTGCTCTCACGCCAAACATTGACCCGTGCCGTGTCTTCCTTCCTGGCCCACAGGCTCTATCCTGAGCAAAAAGGCTGCAGAGAACATCTCCGCCCTGGTTCTGGACGTGAAGTTTGGCAGTGCGGCCCTCTACCCCACCCTGGAGAGCGCCCAGGAGCTGGCGGAGAGCCTGGTGAGTCCCCTACACAACGGCAGTGGCTGTCGGAACCTTGGAGCAATCACTTCCCAACAGCGGTCATTCAGAAGAATGAAAGTTTATCAAGACATTGAAGGTCTCCAGACTCTCAACATTTTGTGTTAGAACTAACCCAGAAGCACGTGAAGCAAGCAATTAGACCAAGCCCACCTGACACTCTAAGGACTCAGAGCCAATCACACTAAGCAAAGAGCTCGCTGGAATATAATGGTCCCATCTTTCGGCTTTGCTCCTGCAGAATGCAGGGGGTTGGACTAGGTGACCTGCAAGGTCCCTTCCAACTCTGACATTCTGTGATTCTATGACTCTATGATCTTCCCAGGGGAAAGCTGACATCTCTAAGACTAGGGAGATAGGGAAGAGCAACCAGCCAAGCAAGCAGAAAACGAACATTCCAGGCTTCCCCCAAGGCAGTGGGTGGGTTGACAGGGACCTCCAGAGGGTCATACGACCTCTTTGGCTCCTCCTCTTGTGGGGTGGGGGGAAGATGTCCAAGGGTCTGCCTTCTTCCTCTGGTAAAGCTTCCTGTGGGGCAGAGGGTGAAGGGGCGTCAAGGGAAGCCCTTGGCCAGGGTGCGCTCCAAGGCAGTCTAGCCTGCCAGTCTACACAGTGCCCGCTGGAGCCGAAACAGCCTTTTCAAGCAGACTGGTCTTACACGGTGCTCCGCTCTGCCCATCAGTTTGCTGTTTGTTCCCCAGGTTCTTTGCAGAACTCTGATAGATTCAAGACTCTCTAGAGGGCTCGTAAGGGCCGCGACGGCTCAGAGGGAAAGACACTGAGCTGCAGACCAGAAGGTCTGTAGGTGGGCAGTTCGAGACCTGAGTGCCTCGTGACGGAGCGAGCTTCCGTCTCTGGCCCCAGCTCCTGCCAACCTAGCAGTTCAGAAGCAAGAAATTGCAAGTAGATAAATAGGTACCGCTTCGGTGGGAAGGCAACAGCGTTCCGTGTGCCTCAGCATTTAATCATGATGGCCGCATGACCACGGGAAAGTCTTTGGACAGCACTGGCTCTTCAGCTTGGAAACCGAGATGAGCACTGCCCCCTAGAGTCGGATTCGACTGGCTTTCGAGGAAGGGAAACCTTGACCTTTACTTTAGAGGACTTGGAACCAGGATCCATGTGGTGGTTTGCCGTGTCTGTCCCCAGCGCTACCCTTTCCACCCCCATCCCAAGATTCCTCTCTCACTCTCTCTCTCTCTCTCTCTCTCTCTCTCTCAGGTGTCAGTCGGGACACAGCTTGGGATCAGCTCTGTAGCTGTGCTCAGCAGGATGGACGAGCCGGTGGGGCGCCGAGTGGGTCACTCCCTGGAGGTGCTGGAAGCCTTGGAGTGCCTGGAAGGAGGAGGCCCTGCAGATCTCCGTGAGCTGGTTACCACACTAGGTGTGCATCAGTGAGCATCTTAATGCCATGGTACAGAGGTAGCTTTCCCCAGGAGACATGGGCTGGGGTCCTGCAGGGCATGTCACAGGGAAGATTGCAGAGAGTAACCAAAGTCCAGCCCAAAGGTCAGGGGTTCCAGATAGCTGGTTTACTAAAGTCCAGTCTAGGGTCAAGGAGTCCCAGGCAGCAAGTCCAAGTCCAGTCCGAGGTCAGAGATTCCAGAAAAGCCAGCTGTCAGGTCCAGTCCAAGGTTCAAGGTTGCAGAAGTCCAGTAGCAGCAAGGTTAGTGGCTCAGTAGCAAAGTGTACTTGTTGCGTCCACAAACTGCTGCTTCTCCTGGCTGAATTTATAGCCAAGTCTTAATGAGCTAACCTCCCAGCCAATTTCTGAAAGTACTCATTCGTCTCTTCGATTGACAGCTGACGACGGGCCATGAGTCTCGCACTTCTTCTCCTTTCTTGCAACTCTGAGCATCTCTGACAGCATCGGCACTGTAAGGGTGTGGGTGAGCTAGATGGGCTGGGAGTGGCTGCTGAAGACTTGTTTACTGCTTCAGAGCTACAAGGCGCTGGCTCAGTTTCAGCTGTAGGCTGAGACTCCTGATCAGCTGGTAACCTGATCTCTTGTTGTTCTCCTTCTGGCTTGGAGCCAGCTGCAGCTGGCTGTTCAGTTACCGGCTCAGGGCTAGCAGGTAGCTCTTCGTCTGAGAAATCTGAGCCATCACTCAGCACAGACTGACTTACAACAGCCGTCATGCATTGCGTACATTTCTAGTTATGAGCACATACATGTGTGTATCTGGCGTGATCTGGTCCATGGAGTCGGACTCGACTGTGCAACTAAACAACAACAACATGTGTGTGTGAGACAGAAGTTGGGTGCAAAAGGGCCTCTTGATGTGCAATTGTCCTACTAGGGCCCGGTCTTCTAGGGTTTTCGCAAGCGGCATTTTCTAGATCGTGAGTCCTCGACATGGGGCTTGAGAGTGCTGCGGCACCCACCAACACCTTTCCTGCCACCTGCCAAGAAGTGTTTTTGTAGTATGTGCCTTGGACAGAAACAGTCTTAAGAAGTTTCAGGAGGACTACGAGCATACTTGGCTATTGAGTTTGTAGCAGTGAAAACACTGAACTCTTCCATATTGTGTCATTGTCATGCACGTTATGCCATATGTATGGCCCTAGAGAGCCCCAATTCTGCTCCCAGGCTCTGAAAGCACAGCCACCTGGGCCAGCTTTGCCACCTGGGCCACCTTTTACCCCAGCAGCTTTCAGCTTCCCGGGTTCTCCACTGAGGTTATCTGCATGTGCTCAGGGCAATTCTGGATGGGCTTTTCCCTCCATTGTTTTACTAAGCCCACCTTGGAACAGAAATCCCCCTCTGCATTGCATGCCGCTTTCACTTTCTTTGATCACCAGGTTTTATGGTGCCTTCTGCATAGATTTATGGCCGTTCAGGGGTGTCCTGGGGAATTTCAGAGAGGAATTTCTGTTCTATTGTGGGTTTGCGAAAACAGTGGAGGGCAGGCTTCCCAAGTACTTACCGTGATTCGATGGGGGACACAGACGTCTTAACAGGATCATTCCCGCGGGGACAACAGACGCACCACACCATGCCGTCGCAATGGTACCATCGAGTTTTCAGCCCCATTGCCAGAGCGTTGCCCGGTGTCACTTCCTAGCGACGGCATGGTGTGTTACAGGGAGGAATGGTCTGGCCGGGGAGCATGTTTCCCCCACCAGATCGCGGTAATTACTTGGAAACCCTAGTGGAGGGAAAAGCCAATGCAGATTAGCCCGTAAATTGCCTTAACTCGAACGCTGAGAAAACCTGGAGTGGCAGGCAACTGCGGGAAGGACTGTCCTTGCCTCAGCCCATTAACCCATTAGCCAATCAGGACACGTTTAGCTAATTGGCACTGGTAGGCTGAAACAACTTAGGGAGACTCCTCAGGATGGTTCTGTTAATAGCCAAAAGCCTGCCAATTATCTTAAAAAGCATTTCACGCATTCTAGATTACATTGTAATTTTGTTTGGTATCACCCCCTCCCAAATTCACAATTTTTCCATGATAAGAATGGGGGGGGGGCAGAATCCTTTAAAAAGTCCGGGGTGTTAAAGAGCGGGTTCCATGGATGAGCAGGCTCGAGTCTAGTGATCAGCTCAACTTTATTTGTGATTTCAGCAAGAGCTAGACCAGAACCCCAGAGCCGTAGCTTTGTTAGATAGCGTGCAATTGCCACACCCAAACATAAGAACATAAGAGAAGCCAATGTTGGATCAGGCCAATGGTCCATCCAGTCCAACACTCTGTGTCACACAGTGGCCAAATACACCAGGTGCCATCAGGAGGTCACCCAGTGGGGCCAGGACACTAGAAGCCCTCCCACTGTTGCTTCCACACACCCACTCCCAATGATAGGCTATTTACATAACATTACTACTTGATGGAGCTGCGGTGGCTCAAGTGGTTAAGATGCTGAACTGCAAGCTGTGGAAGGTCGGTAGTTCGGCAGTTCGAGACCCGAGTGTGCCGCATGACGGAGTGAGGTCATGTCTCTAGTTCCAGCTCCTGCCAACCTAGCAGTTCGAAAGCAAGAAATTGCAAGTAGATAAATAGGTACCACTTTGGTGGGAAGGTAACAGCGTTCCGTGCGCCTTGGTGCCGGCCACATGACCACGGAAACGTCTTTGGACAGCGCTGGCTCTTCGGCTTTGAAACGGAGATGAGTACCGCAACCCTAGAGTCGGATTCGACTGGCTTTCAAGCAAAGGAACCTTTACCTTTACTTTCCCTTTACTACTTGATTGATGACTTCCAGAGTCCTGGTCGGCTATTGTCCTTGTGCTCCAAGCTCACCCAATCTCTGGTGTGACATACCCGGAATGGTTCAGTCCCAGCACATAACAGGGGAAAGAATATTTCCTCTCGGTCTTCTTCCAGTTTCGCCCCCCCCCCCAGTCTTCCCATCTTTAGGCGAGGATGCCCCCCC